CCCAGAACGATCTTGTGGTGGTGTGGAATAAACATCAATAGACCACTGAGTAAACAATTTTTTTCCTTTTGTAAATAAGATCTGATTTCATATAAAAAATGTTATGTGCGAACTCTAAAAAAATGAAATAAACAAACGGAAATTACGCAAAATTGTTTACCATAGGCCAGATGACGATCGGTATGTCCGATAACCGATCATCGACGACTCGTGAGTCCAGGGAGTCGAAAAACTGAGTCCAATACGGAACTGGTTCCTTAAACCGGATGACTCCCAAAAGGAACCAAAGTTTGAACCCGAGAAATTTTGAGTGGTTTTTGGGACTAAGAGAGGCTTAAGAAAAAAGGCAAAGGTGAAGTAAAGGGCGAAAATCCGTGGCAGCAGGCGGTTCGGTTAGAGAAAAAATTACGTAATTGAAAAAAATCGAGTTTTTACCAGTGAGTTGCGATAATATATTCTAGTGTGAACAAAAATGCTAGTTTAATTAATTATAGAATATTCCGGAGTGAATAATCCTGGACCAGGAACGCTATTTGGGGATAAAACAGGAAGATCAGCCACCAGGAAGAAGACTACTTTTCGAGGAGAAAAATTGGCCACTCCTTCCTGGGTGGCCACAAATTTTTATTCTTAAATTACTTTTTTTTAAGAACAAATACAACTGCCAGCCAAAAAAAGAAATGTAGAATGTAGAAATGTAATTAGTTAAAATAGTAAATAAATAAACGATACTCAACTTTTTTTTAATATATTTGTAAACGAAGTTCAAATATTCAGGCGTTTTAACTGACATTTTTTTATGGTATTTTAGTGGTATATTTTGAAATATGAAATAGTATATTTTTGAGGGATAAATGGTATATTTCGATTTGTCCGGCGCGGTCACGCTGCCTGATAAGCTTTTTTATTATTTTGGAATTTTGGTATAAATTTCATAAAAATCGGACAACTATATCATATAGCTGTCATAGAAAGGTAAAATGTTATGAAACTCTGTTTTGTGTGTGTTTTTAACATTTTATTTATGCTATGTATAAATATACAACTTTTAAATATATATATTTTTTTCTTTTAATTTTAAACCAGAATGGCTTGATTTTCAATGATCCAAAGCAATCTGCGAACGTGACTTTTTCGATTTTTGCAACGTTAATTGTTCGAATGGCCCTACTGTGCGTCGGCGCGCTGCTGAGGCGGCAGAGTTGTTGTAGGCCGTAGCGTTGTTTTATGCGGTTAACTTAGGCTGTGCTATTCCTCCACCAACAAAAGATTTATCGTCCGCCGTAGATGGTGTAACTTTGGCTTTTATTAGCGGCAACGCGTAGGGAATAAAAAAAAAAACCGCATCCACTCGCGAATATTTGTTGTCGAAACTTCCCTTATGGACTTTTTTCTTAGAAATCGAACTGGTATGCTCTGCTGCCAAGAAGAAAAAGAAAGCGGATTCCGCCGAATCCAGCAGGTTCCCTCTCACTAGCTCTCGCCCTCCTTCAAGGCACAGCCGATCGCTGACATTTAGCTCCGTTAGAAGTGAATTTCGCACCTTAGCTACGCTCTGCACCTCTCTATCGGACAAGCTTGGAGCTGCCTGATGGCGCCAGGGAAGTACCATATATTTGTATCTGCCCTGAATCAGGCGTTACATATTTTTACAATTACTTATTTTGTTTTCTATATCGATGTTCTCAAAATAAAAAACAAGCTGGAATCTTCAAATTCATCTTCTTATCTTCTTCGAGACAAACATCGTCGTATTCCCAAGAAAGCAACTGAATTACTACACTTGGAAGGGAAAGACTCTTTTGTTTTTTTATGCGCCTCGATAAATTAAGGTAGGAAATAATTGGATCTGATATATCCATAGCCTTGTTGAACACATCAGCAAAGGAATGCAATCGGTTGTGCTTTCTTGAGTGGTGAAGCATGTCTGATTTATACAGCTTTTTTTTTTGTGACGCAGACGCTTCTTCTCCAAAATAGCCGACTGAAAGCACCGTTTTTTCCGTTACTTCTCTGCAGTGCACAGTTATTTTGCGAACGGTTGGTGTCATTGGCATACCTATCGACTGGGGGCATACATATCGACTACCAACGCCAGTTTGATCCTCATATTATAAATAATTTCTTCATCGACCCAAAGACATAAGACTCTAATGTCTTTGATCGAACCCAGTTATTTTCGAAAAATCATCGTAATTAGTACCAAAACCTGCCTGTTTAGGCTTATCCACCTTTAAAGAGAGTCTTTCCCAAAACATTTCCTGAATTTGGGCTTACTCCGTATTTTAAATTTTGCATTATTGGCACAGGAAATCTTTTAGGTTTGCTTGGCATATTGAGCATTGCTGAAATGATTTCGTTTCTTTCAAAGCGTTCAGTACTTTACCATCAATGGCAGTAAGATATGGGCTAAATTTCACATACATACTTTGTCTGTCATTTAGTGGTATTTTACATGGTACTAGCTCTTCAATTTCCTTTTTTCTATGCCCTTTTTTACCTTTAATATCGATTCTTTAGTTTCCTTCAAAACCCAATAGACTGCGGAGTGCGATTGTTCCACATCAAATTTCCGGATGAGTCGATCATTCGAAGAGGCATTATGTTGGTGGCAAAAAAATCATGAGTCTGCGACATACGGTTTTTTATCTGTGTTTGCGTGGGTATTTATCTGTCCAGTACTGCCATCGAAACTGTAGCTTACGATAAGCTCTGCCGATAGGAAATCAGTTTGTTGATTGGCCAACACATTCTGAATCTTTTTGCAGTGCCACTATTCGGAAAGCCGTATGTACTAAAAGGTTTTGCAGGGAGAACTTAGCTACCGTCTCCGAAAGATCAATGTTCACTGGTCTGCATTTTATCTTTTCCTGAGCTACATCTTTGTAGAGGGAGTAAATATCCACTTTTCTTTTGCGCACTTCGTCCCGTCCCGCACAATGCTGCTCTTTGGTAAACCCTTGATCCAATATTAACGCTAGTGCCTCATCTTTGGACGCACGTATGGGTTGCTCAGTGGGCTTTGCTTAAAATTCCCTGACTTTGATGGCTTTCTCCGGGGTACTTGCAAGTACTTTGAGAACAGCAGCAAGATCATGGAGTCCTTCCTTTCGAGCAGACGCGCTTGCCGCACGGATCAGTAAAGCGGTGTTTCGTGCCTCGGAGACCACGAGATTTGCAATCTGCCATTTGCGTGCTTGAATACTTTTATTGGTATAAGTTAATATAGGACGCTCAACTAAATTTGAGATTTTTTTAGCGGTAATACACTGCGCGTCAGATCAGATTAGCGCCCCCTTTTGGATTTACTTAATTGCATCTATCTCTGTTTCTATTGCACGCAACTTCAAAATTTTTGTTGTTGCTTTTAAAATGCACAAATTGTCGCTCTCTGAGAGAAATACCGTTAGGTGAGAGATTCCGTTATCTATTTTTTCTTATTTTGTTTTACTTTCGCTGCAAAAGCTTGCACTGATTTTGCGTCATCAGATTAGCGCCTGTAAATTCAAATTTAGTTATCTCGCGTAATTTTTGGCGTACAGTTGTGAAATTTTTTGTGCTGATTAATTGAATAATTGTTTATAAACTGAGAATCAAAATGGGTAAAGGAACTGTCCTATCTTTAGAAGAAAAATCTAAGATCGAAGCCTTTAGTAAAAGTGGCTTATTTTTACATAAAATTGCTGAAAAATGGGAAGGCATCGAAAAACTATAGCCAGTTTTCTTAAAAATAAACAAGGCTATGGTAAAAATATGAAAAACGGTAACAACAGAGTTCTTTCCGAAGCAGACATTCGGTGTATAGTTAGACATGCGTCTAATTCACACGACTCTTCTACCAAAATTAAAGAAAAAAGCGGTGTGGAAGCTAGCAAGTCCACGGTATTACGAGTCATAAAAAAGCAGAACACTTGAAAAGACTAAAAAAAATATCTTAAATGGCGTTTTCAACACGACAACGCTCCAATCCACACTGCCCGATCTGTAAAATCGTGGATACAGGGCCAAAACGTTGATGTCCTGGAGTGGCCGCCGTACTCTCCGGACTTAAATATAATAGGAAACGTGTGGGGATGGCTCTCGAGAAAAGTATACGAGTCTGGAAAGCAGTATAGTACAAAATTGGTGCTCATCGACGGGATTAAAGAAGCTTGGTCTTCAATATCGTTACAATACATTGAGAAATTGTACGAGTCACTTCCCAGCAGGATCTGTGAGGTCCTGGAAAATGGGGGCGGGACCACCCACTATTAATTTCATTAGAAAATAAGTAAATAATAAGATAAAACATAAAACATTAAATTTAAGCAGAGGGCGCTAATCTGATGACGCAAAATTAAATTCATATTTTTGGTATACATTTTCTTTTCAAATAAATAAAATATTATGTATATGTGTTCATATTTATCTAATCCTTATATTTTCGTTCAAATACCCTGGTGTTCGACCTGCAACTTCTTAGTTTTGCCGCTAAACAGTACAACATTTTCTTGATATTTTGATTGTAACGAATCTCTCCGGCCGGGATAGATCCCAGTCGTGACCAGGGATCCTCTTCAAATTTATTTAGAGGGGTCGGAAATATTTATAGGAATTTATTATAACAGCGTGCGGGACCCGGGTTGCGAATTTACGCGCACTTAGTTCTGATCCCCGAGGGTCGGCAACGTGACTGCCAGACGAGGTGGTCACGAGATGCTCTAGGAGCAGGCGGGGCACACGCGCTGCTTGTCAATGGCCGGTCGCCGCGCTGCTTTTACCGACTCGTCGATCTGCTTGATCGGTCGGTCCCTGACAGAAAGCTGCTCGTCGCGAACTGCTTTAGACACTGCTTGCGCCTACTGCTTGTTTGTACTGCTTTCGCCGGTGCGCGGAGTGGCAACTCCGGTGGACTCCCGGCGGGATTTGGTTGATCTCGCGACGTGGGTCGAGGGAATGGCCAGGGCGTCAGAGAGGTATTAGTCAACTCCGGCTGGGCACGGAGGCTGGCTACGGGTCGGTCAGGCAGAGATTCTCGAGTCACCGTGGTGATGCACGGTGTGCGGAATGGCCAATGCAGGCGTGGCGGCAGCGTGTGTCGGAGTGTCCCTACTCTGGGAGTGGATACGGACGCGGATGCACTCGTAGTCGTGGCGGTACACAGTACGCGGGAAACCAGCGTTAGTGGCGCGACGGCTACGGGCACAAGAAGGGGGTCCCTAGTGGGGCGAAGGCAGAGGAGCACGTGTCCTCCAGTCGCGGCGGCACGTTGAGCACGGAAGGAACCTGTGCTGGCGTGGCGCTGCGGCTGCAGGTATGACAGAGGGTCCTAAACTGTGCGTGGACGGAGGAGTATGTGTACTCCAGTCGCGGCGGCACGCTGTGCACGGAAGAGCCGGTGCTGGCGTGGCGCTGCGATGGGAGCACGGGAGAGGATTCCTAGCGGCGTGGGGCAGAGGGGCAGGTGTCCTCCAGTCGGGGCGGCACGTTATGTACGGAATGGACCTGCGCTGGCGTGACGCTGCGGCTGTGGACGCGGGAGAGGATCGATGGGAGGCTGGATGGCCGTAAAACACGTGCGAATGGAAATGCCGAAACGCAGTGTTTTGGGGCCGCCAGCGGGACAGAGATCGGGGAACCTGAAACCGTGACCAATACTACCAAGGAAATACTCCTACGGGTAGGTTCAATTGTTAGTTTATTGGTTATTGGGTTATCTAAGTGTGTAGCCTACTACTGCCTTACAGAATTGACTCCTGTGACTTACGAAACTAGCCCACGTGTCAGCGGGCGTGGGGGGGGGCTGTCGATCGCGGTGGTTTTCTTGTCACTGTGTTGGTTTGTTTCTCGTCGTTGATGTCGCGGTGCGGGCGTGTTCGTCGCGGGATGGGACGAGGACGCGATATACTTTGATTGTTTGACTCGGTCGCGGAGGCGCGGCGATGGGCACGTCTGCCTCGGTGCAAAGTTTTCGACGGGAGAGAGCGAATGCCGGAAGACGCGAGCTGTCATAGCTTTTGAGTGAACCGGTGGTTCGAACCGGTTCACCGAGAACGGATCGGGTTCGACTAGTTCGACTAGTCGATAATAAATAATAAATAACCTCTGAGGTGCTGAACTTAGCTTATTCGTTAGCTTAATTATCCCTATTTAAATATACTCCACGGTTGTCTTGATTACGGCTCCAATGCCAACTAAAGAGGTTTTAATAATAATGTATTGGCTTCAGTGCCGACTTACTCTCTAAACTTAAACTATGGCTATAATATGGGGGGAATAGTTATATGCTTAGTATCTAGGGCTTATTTTGTATAGGAGGTTGTGCGCCTGTAGAATAGAGGCGTCACACTCCCTTCTTACTCCGCCCGGCCGAAACGGATCTGGACTTCTTCTGTCGTTTTCATGGTGATTTGGTATGGTCCTTCCTGCGTGCGGACGCGGAAGCGCTGACGGGAGTACTGTGCGGCATGGCTCCGGCGCGCTATCTCCTGCCAAACCGCCAGTGGAACTCGCTGGTCGTGCGTGTTAGTCCACCAGGCGGCTGGTATGGCGACTCGCTCGGGCGTTGGGTCGTCGGTGGTGAAATCATCCGCCGGAGGGGCTCGACGAGCAAAGCGTGGCGCCGGAGGTGGAACCTCGTCGGCGGTGGTGGCCGCAGGAACTGGGCGCGGGAAGCGCGGTGCCGGAGGTGGGACCTCGTCGGCGGTGGTGGCCGCAGGGACTGGGCGCGGGAAGCGCGGTGCCGGAGGTGGGACCTCATCGGCGGTGGTGGCCGCAGGAACTGGTGCTGTCGAAGGTGCGCTCGGGTCCCAATCTGGGATTAACTCCTGTAGCAGACCCTCTACTCCCGGCTCGAGCTCCTCCATGAGTATATCCATCGTGCCCGGAGAGAGATCGAACCCGCGATCTCCGAAGCCGACACGTGGGGTGGCTGGGGGAGTGACCTCCTCGTCGATAGTGGAGCGACTATGGTTTGCTGCTCGGCGGTTGGTCTCGGCGGCGCGTTCCTTGCGTTGGCTATCCCGCGGCGGTGGGCCGAGGATTGCTGGTTTGGCACAGCAATGTTCGGCGGTGGCCGTGGTTGCGCCTCTTTGCGGCGGAATTTTTGTCCCGTCTCCGTTTCACTATCGCTGCTCTCAGATTCCCACTCCATCGCCTTCCCGGTGGGCTGGTAGCCCTGCTCGGTGGTTTCGTTAGCGATGGGAATTGGGCCTCGGCTTGGGGATGCTAGCGGGGCGTTGTCATCCGCCTGGTTGGTACTGTGGCGCGTTTGCTGACTGGTAGACGCCAATGATGTGTCGTTGTATGTCTGGAGGTGGAGCGCTTGCTGGCTCGTGGACGCCAGTGGAGCGTTGTCATCCGCGGGGTGGATGAGGTGGAGCGCTTGCTTGCTCGTTGTCGTCAATGGCGCGTTGTCACCTGCCCGGTCGCCGGGGAAGATGGGTAGGGCCGCATCTTCCCCCAGTGCTGGCGGCGGCGGGCGGACCTCGGGTGCGTTTCCCAAGTCCATTTCCCAGTCTTCGTCCGGGGCCATTATACACAGCCTCTCCGGTGACGGGGGAAAGGTGATGATTGGGTCAGGAGTTGGCCGGAAGGGTGCCTCGATGAGGATGGAGGTGTAGCGGGCGTGGATTAACTGGATCCACGATCCCCGCCAGAACCCGTACCGCTCCTCTCCTTCCCATTGATAGTGGGCTGCCGAAGGGGCACCATCGTCTGGCTCGCTGTCGCTACTAATTGTTTGCGCGTCGTCGTTGCTCTGCTCGCTAGCTTCCTCCCCGTGGTATCCGGCGTACAGAGGGGTGGCGTCGCTGTCGGTGGCATCCTCCAGCACGTAGTCCTCGTCGCGCGTCGGGGCAGCTGGACTGGGGGGATCGGGAGTCTCCCTCCTCGTCGTCATCCTCGTCTGACTCCGGGTCCTGCTGGCGAGGGCTACATGGGCTGTAACGCCCTTCAGGTGGTGGAGCAGCAGCGGTCGGGTCGGGGTGTCCTGGAGCGGGGCGCGGGTTGTGGAACCAACGCGAGTGACCCGGCGCATCCGGGTTGTGATACCCTTGGTAGGGTCCCGACGGCGGAGCTTGAGAGCAGGGGATCCTGCGTCCAGTCCTGTCCGTGTAGTACGGGGAGGCCGAGCGGCCCGAGGGTCGTGGAGGCGTTGGTGGCGCGGCGCGCCGTGGTGGCGATGTTGAGGGGGCCTCATCCGAAGGCTCGGACATCGGGTGCGGCGTGGCTCGGCGCGGTGGCGCTCGGGCCGTAGTTGGCTGCATCGGGGGCGACGGGGCTCGGGAGCGGCCCGAGGGTCGTGGAGGCGTTGGTGGCGCGGCGCGCCGAGTTGGCGAGGCTGACCGAGACTCGTCCGACGACTCGGACATTGGGTGCGGCGTGGCTCGGCGCGGTGGCGCTCTGGGCATGGTTGGCTGCATCGGGGGCGACGGGGCTCGGCGCGGTGGCGCTCGGGCCTGTCGGATCCCGGTTGGGCAGGCTCTTGTGGGTCTGCCGGCGTAGTATGTGCCAGGGCGTAGCCGGGGGTCGCGGCCGGTCGTTGGCCTGTCGTACGCTCCATTGGGAGCCGTGTTCTCTACGTCGCTGGAGTCGATTGTGATGGGTTCCATCCTGGTTAGCTCGTGGCACGCGCGTAGATACGTCTATGGGAGAAAAGAACTATCCAAACTTAAACTAACCAGTACTTAAATGTTAATGTCCTAACGGGCAGTAGTAGGCAAAAGTTCTAATGTTAATCTAATTGCTAACAATGGTCTTAGGGTTAGAAAACTTAGTGGGCTGCTTAAATTCACCCCTCGCTGGAAACGTGGTCAGGTGGCCGTGGCTTGTCGGACCCGGGTTGAACGCCGGTGTTGTCCTCCGACATGGCGTCGTCGTCACTGTCTGCATCACCTGCGGGAAGAGAAGAATGGAATTCTTTTAAGTCGGCGATATTGGCAAGGCGGCCCTTTCGTTTCCCGGGCAAGCGGATTCGGGCTATGTTTGGGGACGGAAGGGCGACCACTTTATATGGCCCGTCGAACTTGGGCGCGAGTTTGGCAGCGAACCCGTCCACCGCTTTGGATAGGTGGTGTTGGCGCACGAGGACCAGGGAGCCGATGGTGGGCCTCCATGCCCGACGCCTGAGGTCGTACTGCCGTCCTTGGTCGCGGCTTGCCTTCTGGATGTTTGTTTGGACGATCTGGAAAATTTCCTTCAGTCGTCCAGCTCGGTCGGCAGGGGTCTCCGGAGCGACGCCTGCTCCCGGTGTCACTTGATCGTACCATGAGTAACCGCGGCTCTCGTGCCTTTAGTAGGAAAGCCGGGCTGTACCCTGTGGTCTCCGAAATGCTGGTATTGATGGCGAGGCTCAGCTCAGGTATTAGCTGATCCCACGTACTCTGATCACTGCCGACGTACTGAGAGATCATGGTCTTGACTGTGCGGTTCGCTCGCTCCGTGGGGTTCTCGCGTGGGCAATAGGTGGCCGTGTATTGAAGTTCTACGCCCATCTCCCTAAGGAATCCTCTGAAGGCCTTGCTGGTGAATTGGGTGCCGTTGTCGCACACCAGTTTCCTTGGGGCTCCAAACCTCCCGATGATTCTTTCGCGGAACGCCTGTATCAACGTGGTGGTGGTGGCTTTTCGCAATGGGACCAGTTCCACCCACTTGGTGAAACTATCGAAGAAGACCAGCAGCATTGTGTTACCTGCCCTGGAGCGCGGTAGTGGCCCCACGAAATCTGCACATACGATGCCAAAGGGTTCGTCGACCTGCCTCGTCAGCATCCTTCCTGCTTGTGCCTTTTGCTCTGCTTTATATTTCTGGCAGAGGACGCATTGACGGACGTATTGTTTCACGTCGCGGAACATTCCGGGCCAGTAATATTTTTGTGAGATCCGCAGAATCGTCTTCCGGGTGCCAAAGTGGCCAGCCGTGGGCGCGTCGTGGCATTCTTGGAGAATCCGTGCTCGATGCTCAGCCGCAACGCAGAGCTTCCAAGGAATATAATCTTGGTCGTCTGGGCGGTGTCCGAGGTGTCGATACAGCTCTCCGTTTTCGATGACATAATCGGGAAATCGCTGGGGGTCGTCCTGAACTTCCGTGAGTTTTCGTTTCAGCCATTTGCACAATCGTTCGTCTGGCATTAGTCGCTGGAGGTGCTCCAGTAGTTGCCGGGATAGGGCATCGGCGACCACGTTATATTTCCCGCGGCGATAGTGGACATCGTATTGGTACTGTTGAAGTTCTAAGGCCCACCTGGCGATCCTTCCAGTCGGGTTCTCAATTTGATCTAACCATTTCAGGGCCAAGTGGTCTGTGATCACGTCGAAGCGATAGCCCTCGAGATAGCATCGGAGCTTGCGGATTCCCCAGACGATGGCTAGGCATTCCTTTTCCGTAGGAGAATAATTGAGTTCGGCAGCGTCTAGCTGCCGACTCACGTATGCGATGACCCGTTCTTGCCCCTCTATTTCTTGTGTCAGCACACCTTTGAGTCCATAGTTGCTCGCGTCGGTCTGGAGCGTCATCTTGACGGAAAAGTCTGGACATGCCAGCACCGGAGCATCCGTTAGTAAACTTTTGAGGAGCTCGAAGGCTGTCTGTTGTTCTTGCTCCCACTTCCACCGCTGGTTTTTGCGCAGCAAGTTCGTCATGGGCTGAACAACAGACGCGAAGTTCGGTACGAACCTCCTGTACCATGAGGCCATGCCTAGGCATCTGCGTAACTCTCGAAGACTCGTGGGTGGACTGAGGTTCCGCACGGCGGCTACCTTTTCAGGGTCCGTGTGAATGCCCTGGTCGCTAATGACGTGGCCGAGATAAACCAACTTCCGTTTGAAGAAGGAACATTTGTCTTGGTTTATCCGTAAGTTCGCCTTCCTGAGCCGCTTGAAGACTCTCCGCAAATTTCCCATGTGCCCTTCGAGACTGGCACCGATGACGATTATGTCGTCTAGATAAGCGAAGGCATATGGGTCCAAGTCTGGCCCGATCACGCTGTCGAGCGCTCGCTGGAAGGTGGCTGGAGCCGAATGGAGCCCAAAAGGCATGACCCGCCACTGGAAAAGGCCGCGGCCAGGGACCGTAAAGGCGGTACACGCCCGACTGCCTGCTTCCATTGGAATCTGCCAATAGCCATTGCGCAAATCCAAGGTGGAAATATACTTTGCGTTTCGAAGCCGCTCAAGGATATGGTTGATACGCGGCAGTGGATACGCGTCGGGGATCGACTTGGCATTTAGCTGGCGATAATCTACGCACATGCGCCATTGTCCAGTCTTTTTCCTGACCAGGACCAAGGGAGCGCTGTGCGGACTGCGCGATGGCTCGATGCAATGCTGATCGAGGAGGGCGTCCACCTGCTCGTCGATGATCTTCTGCATAGCCGGGTTCTTTGGGAAATACCGCTGCTTGATTGGCCGATCGTCTCGCATGGTAATCCTATGCTCGGCGATATTGGCCACTCCGGTCATTCCCTCGAATTGAATCACCTGCTCGTATAAAAACGCTTGGATACGAGGGTCTTGTTCCTCGTTGGTGGCCTCGGGGGCGCCCTCAAGATTCTCCTCGGGTGTCTCGGGGTGTGTGTCGATGCGTGCCTCTGTGTGCTTGTCCTCGGTGTTTACCATCTCATGTAGGTTCATGAGATTACTCTCAGAGGTTCCTGTGCTTGGGTTCCTGTGTGCCTCTGTGTATTTCCCTTGTGTGCCCGCGCTGGGGCTCTCGTGTGTCTCTGCGTGTCTACCTTGTGTGCCCGCGTCGGGGCTCCTGTGTGTCTCTGCGTGTCTTCCTTGTATGCCCGCGTCGGGGCTCCTGTGTGTCTCTGTGTGTCTTCCTTGTGTGCCCGCGTCGGGGCTCCCGTGTGTCTCTGTGTGTCCATTGTATTGCTCTCCGGCGTTAGTATTCTCGTGTATCTTGTGTTGCTCTCCGGCGTGTGTCTCCGTGAAATGGTCGGCGATGCCCAGGCGGGGGTCTTCCGGGCGAGTAGGCGGTGCTTCCTCGCTCAGCTCGGATCCGGCTGGGCCCCGTGGGCTGGGTGGTTCGGTGGTTTGAGAGTCCGTTGTATGTATGCTGCGTCTCGCGTCTCTGGGTGGCCTCATGTCCCGCTCTTCCGGCTGTCGTCTCGACAGGATGAGTTTGGCCGTCCCACACTGGATGGTGGTGCCGATCGTGGCCAGGAAATCCATGCCCAGGATCAGGGGTTCCAGCATGGCCGGCATAACGAAGAGGGGCACCTGGATAGTCTTCCGAGCGAGGGTGATATCGGCGCGCAGGAGTTGTCGAACCTCGACTCGCGAGGTGTCGGCCAATTTAATTTGGGTGCGGATCTCCTGAAACTGGTGTCGTTGGCCAACTAGGTTGGCGACTTCCTGCCTGATGAAGCTCTTCGATGCGCCAGTGTCGATGGTGGCCAGACGTCGCACAGTAGCGCCTCTCGAACAATTAGCGTTGCAAAAATCGAAAAAGTCATGTTCGCAAAAACGATTTTAACCATACTTATTCGACAGAAAATTTCCCAAGGATTCAGAATCTGCAATAAAATCTATTTTAAGATTTTTTTGTAAAAGATATGAGCATTTAAAGTTGAACTTTGTTTCGTTTTTTGCATCATACAAAAAAAATGTGTAAATTGGTCGACTTTCAGGTAATATTACAAAAAAACCATAAAACCAATGGTCATGGTTTTAACTTTAAATGATAGATACATTCATAAACTATTAAAGAACCTAAAAAAAACGACACTTTGGTTTGGGCTTCTACAGGTAAATCGCTACCTGTCAGGTGTCCATTTTTTTCACCTTTTTCTGCCTAAAGTAGTCTATATCTTTTGACGCCAATGCCGGCCACTGACTACACTATGACTACAAGTTCCGTGGATCTTTCCTGGATCAGAATTATCTTTCATCGGCTGCGTCGAGCTGCGTCTGCGGAAATGCAACGCAAAAAACCAAAACAACTCAGGGTAAAATATACCAAAATACCGACACAATTTCATACATTTCAAGAAATATACTAACTAAAAATAAACATAAAAAATTAAATAAAAATTTTTGTTTAAAAATTGTTTTCATTGAAAAAAAAATTATTTTTTCACTTTGATACCCTTTAAAAAGGCGTATTTATGGGCGTGGTACTTTATGCAGTACATATATATATTTTACAACAATTACCTGTCCAATGCCGTTTAAATTATTCGATTACCTTATTTGGTTCAAAAGATATGATTTTTGCAACGCTAAATGAGAAAAGGCGCTACTGTGCGTCGATGGCCACCGATCTCGACTTCTGCGGCGATCCTCCCTCTCTCGATTCTTAGCGGCGCGTTTACAAGGTGTTCGTTGCGGGATTGGTCCCCGACGGACTCCGCCGGTCGTGGGGACCCGCTCCGTTTCCCGGCTGGGGTCGGCGGCAGCACTCTACGGTACGAACATCGCGTCGTCCGCAGTCCCAGCAAAAGTATAGCCGAGGGTTCCGGCATTCGCGGCTGAAATGCCCGGAATCCCCGCAATTTCGGCACGCATCCTGCACGTTGATGCGGCGATCTGGTGTCGCTACCCGGTTTACTCGCACGGGCGCGGGCGGCCGTACCTGACCTGGCGTCCGCGGGACGTCGTTTGATCTGGTG